TCACATCCAACTCATCTATGGGCAAATAAAAATCGGATTTGGGTCACTTCAGGCTGCAGTGTGAACGTAGCCAAACATGACCTCTGACATCTGGTTAACATCTCCATTTCACGCATTTAACGCACACACCATGCCAATTAAATTAGCTTCGTCAGGTAATTAACAGCTGAGCTAAACCAATACAAAACAAAATCCAGACTTAAAGGTGTGTGGGTGGAAGCACTCAGATGAACCCACAAATAAAATACAGCAAGGATGCTGTTATCACCGAAGTGGAGAATTGTAAAACCGCACACAAAAATCACTATTTGAAGCCCTATTCACTAATACATTCACTAAGACCCTGTAGATATTTAGAATGGATTTAAAAAAAAAAAAAAAAAACATTTTTACAAAGGAAAATTCCCATGCAGTTATGTCTGTGTCCACCAGGGGGCGAACAAGACCTTTGAATGATCTTCATTTGTACAAGCTTGGCCTAATAAAGGCGTTTACAATAATTACTTTAGTTTGGGTCATAACTAAAAATATCTGACAAGCACAGGGAATAATCCTTAGAGAAAAGGTTGAGAAGTATTTGAAAAGGTTAACGTAAAAAAGATAGACCGTTACATCAGTCAATCAGATTACTAAGATCATGTGAAGTGCATCATTTGCGCTGCTTTCATTCACTACCTGCTGTTCATTTGTTCCTAAATGTTTCCTATTAGTTTAAACTGAGACTTAGATTGTTTGCTGTGATTGTGTCCTTTTTATCATGTAGATAGAAAATAAAAATATAGGATTTTAAAAAACTGTTTGGATTGAGTTGAATCCAAAATAGATTAGAGGAGATCTCAGACTGCGCTGGCGGTTCACCTACAGCAGGACAATGTTAAAAAAAAAAAAAAAAGTACGATTGGAAGACATTAAAATGGAGGAACGTTTGCTGTAGAAGCATAAAGTAAGATCTGGGAGATACCTGGTGGGAGAAGAAGTCTGGGTTGTAGGAGCCTCCTGGAGCGATCACCTCCACGGCTGGAAGCACAGACGGCTTCTCGTTCAGCTTTTCTGGACGCTGATCAAACAATGCCGCCGTCATTTAACATCAACAGGAACACAGAAGAGTAAAACTACATAAACCATCCGTCTCACCTTCACCAGCTTCTTCCCAGTCTGCTGCAGATACCAGGGATCGGCAGAAACTTTGGCTGCATGAAGAGAAAAATTAAATTCCCGTTTAAAACATTTAAAACATCCGTTACTTCAGCTGCCATTCAAACATTTCAACATTAAAGACGTATAATTTCTGTCCTCAGATCCCAGAGGAGTGTTCACACAACACTCATCTGAGCTCCAAGCTGATCTTCACATTCCCATGAAGGAAATACTGGGAGCGCAAGGATGAGATCATCACTGGACAGAGATTCCCACTCCCTCCACTCACCCTCTTGCCCCCAGATGTCGTAATAGTCTCGCTCTGGGTTATTGTTGGCCTCTGCCACTGCTTTCTTCACTGTCCTGTCCACAGGCCGTCGGTTCAACAGCAGCTTCTGTCGCCGTGGCACCACGCCTTTGGCTGCCAACTGCTCGGCCTTCTGGGCGATGCGGCGGAGTTTCTTAGCGTTGGGTTGCTGGTAGGCCAGAATACTGATGGGGGGAGAAAATGGGAGGTTTAGTCGATTTTTATTGTTGAAGTAAATGTGGAAACACTGAAAACATGCAGAGCGATGAGGCTGGTGTGTTTTTTTTAAGTCCTCAGATCCCAGGATCCTGTTCACACAACAGACTCCTGAGCTTTCTGACAGCCGTCTTCACATTTCCCAGGAGGAAATACTGGAAGTGCAAGGATGAGATCATCACCGGACAAACACACCTGGACCTTTGTTCTATATTTTGCTTTAAATATAATCAATATTGCACCCACTAATATTTATATGCAATATATTGGACAGCTTTCCAACAAGCTAATTTAACAGCAGCCTTTAGCGCACAACATTTAAAGAAAATTAGAAACAAATATCATCCTGCTACTTTTAGATGCGCCTTTGATTCAACACACCTGAATCCAGTCATTCAATGATTGAGGAAGTAACTCAGCCATTTAATTAAGCTCTGCTGAACCAAGGATGGATCTAAAGGTTTCAGGATACCAACCATCAAGAACTGGAATTGCCCACCACTGATTATCTAAACATTTCAGGATTTGAACATAATAAAATGTGTTTGTTTCCAATAATTTTACGACCAGATTTGTGTTTAAAAATATGCTCTCATGGCAGCTGAAGCAAGTTTTTTAATAAACAAATTACGTTTACAGCAGATCAATAATTTGCTGCCTTGTTTTGTCTTTTTCATCTTTGTTTTCTAACCTTACAGGCAGCATTAGTTTATCAACATAAAAAGAAAAAAATGTGCGTTTTAAGGTGATGGATACTGACTCTTTAGGAGGAGGAACCAGAGAATCCCGTTGAAGGATGAGGTCTATTCTTAGAGGACGTGAGGATTTCCCTTTCCTCTTCTTTCCATCATCAGGCTGCACACTTTCAACTAGAAAAAAAACAAACAAAATGGACATCATTGCACACTTAATTCAATCCCAGAAATAAGTCAGTTAATACAATAGCATTAGTGATAAAACCAATGTAAGTAGTAAGATGAATCACCTTCCGGTTCTGGTTTCTCCGGCTGCCCAAGATCAACATAAAATAAGCTCTCATCCGTCTTCTCAGACAGCAGACCCCTGAATCAGACAGAGATTTTTATTACAGCCGGTTTGAACTTCTATTTAACTTTTGCTTTCACACCATCACACAATACATTAGAGGGCAACAAGCTGAAAAATATTGATTTTAAATTGTAAAAAATCTGAATTTCTAGAAACAATCTTGAAGTTACAATTTTAATAAGGCAGTTTCATTTTAGAGACACTTACCACTCCAACTAGTACTTAAAAATGTTTCAAATTGCCATTTTTTTCCCATTTATCCATTTAATAGAGATGGCCCGATTAAATATTAATATGGCAAAATCCGTCCAGTATCAGATAAAACTGAGTATCAGATTATATTGTCTGCTGATTGTTTTTAAGTTCATGTCAACCTTTGGTGAATAAGAAACATTTTAAAAGTTCTTGTAACTGATGTTAGGTATTGTTCTCCATTTGTTTAATATCACTTGATAAAGGCTTATTAATCCCTGCCACAAAATAAGTAAAAAAAGAAGGGATGCATGATTGTTGCTAATTAATCGGGTCAATACTCAAAGCTGAAAGCTGGGTTGCATATCGGAAAAGAAGTATCATGAGTTTTCTACTAGGGCTGGGTAAAAAAAAAAAATATTTAGGAGAGATTCCTTTACATTTTTGCAAAATTGATGCGTAGGGAATGAGATCGATTAGTTTTATAGTGACGTGTGTGATGTTCACATTCAAATGAGCAGCTGTGTGCAAATGTAACACACCGCTCAGCAAGCTGTCCCAAACTGAAGTCTGGAACCATTTTGGTTTTAAAATGGCTAAAGATACCGTAATGTGCTGGATATGTGACATTAAGGTTACTTCCCACTACATTGACAATGAATGGCTCCTCGCATCTCGTGCTACAGACCACTGAGATTACTTCAAGCCAGACAGCTGCAAATATAGCCAATAGGTTGACTGAAGATATTAACAAATGGGGGCTGACCAGCAAACACGCTGTAGTTGTTACAGTCAACCCAGCAAATACAGTTTGTGCATAGGGTTGTCAAAAGTATCGATACCTAAGTACGATTAAAACTTAATTTTAATTTTGTTAGTTTTTTATCAAGCTTGCTTAATACTGTGCACAGCAAACAACCTCAAAATATTGTTCTTCTTGTTTATTGTATTTATTTATTGTATTTTAATTATTAATCAAAATATTTCTGTTGAAATTTGGAGTTTTTATTCTCGTGGTATTGAAAATGGTATCGAGTATCGAATATGTTCCTTAGTATCGGTATCGAGTTGAAAAGTTTAGTATCGTGACAACCCTATTTGTGCAGTGGAGGTAATGCAGCATGTCCCCGCTGTGTCACGTCTGCTTGATCTTGTGAGGCTTCACTTTTTCACTTTTCACAAACAAGTTTGCACTTTTTGGACAGTTTTGTTCACATCTCAAGTTTAAACTATCTGATTTACAAGTTTGCACTTTGTGTTTAATATGACAGGAAAAAATAAAATACATGACCATTTTGAAACACAGTTGAACCACTTTCATCTTTGTAAAAACAGATTTAATCGAAATTAATCGATTTAGAACTGTATGAATCAAAATCGAATTGATTCAGGACTTTGACGAAAATACCCAGCCTTAATCCCTACTGATTAATTAAAAAAATAACGGATTTACAAAAATAAAATCCTTTTTCAGTGGGGTCTTAGACCAAAAGCAGTGAGTTACGTCACAATCACAAGATACAGTTTTATAAAAAAATATATATATACATACATTTTAATTTTAATACTTGTTAATATGCAAAAAATGGAACAGATTAAACAGGTTTAAATACATCAACAACAAAATATGTATAAGTATCTTACTATTCATATACTTTTAAATTAAGAAAGAAAAGGTGGTACACTGCATTCTGTGACCCCTCACATATTGTGAGCCAAAGATGCGCTACATGCATTGTACCATAGATTTCCTTAGATTAAGGTATTAGTATTGCTACTTATGTTCAGGTATGAATCCTGTGACTTTAGGGTTAATAGATAGAAGACCAGAGAGGAGACTCTTCAACAGCACGCGCTTGTTTCACAATGTATGATGGGTCACAGAATGAGGTGCAACACCGGCCAGAAACGGTATGACGGAGAAATCTCTGCATGAAAAATGGATTCCAGGCTCTTTAGTGTAGAACATTCACATCCAGACATGTTCATCTATGAGGTAAACGTGAGAAAAGATCAATATTTTGGAATGGGGATTCAATAAAAAAAATATGTTTGTTTTTTGTTAAACTGGCTTCTAAAATAAGAGCAATATAATGCTTAGCATGATCACGAAACTCCTAAAAATTAAAATACAAAATATAAAACATGGATAATCACAAGAAGTAAAGATAATGAGAGACTTTGGCGTAGTTAAAACCTCGAGCTTTCTTCCTCACCCGGTGGTCCTCTCTTGGAGCCTGATGTCTTCTAGAAAATCCTCCACGTCATTAATGTCGCTGTATTTATTCCAGTTCTTCTTTTTATTCTTGTTCACGCGTTTCCTCCGACTGCTTGCCAAGCCTGACGGGTCTATTGAGGACTTTAAAGTTAAAAATCCAGGCTGAGAGGCGGCCACGCGCTTAACTCTCCTGCGAGCCGCCATGTTGAACAGGAGGAAAAAACAAAAAAATGCCTGACGTCTTATCTGATTTTAACGTCACAGTGATATCGGTAGCGCCATCTGCAGGCGGAACGGTGTAAATGTCGATTTCTTTTTTTATTAATNAAAAAATAACGGATTTACAAAAATAAAATACTTTTTCAGTGGGGTCTTAGACCAAAAGCAGTGAGTTACGTCACAATCACAAGATACAGTTTTATAAAAAAATATATATATACATACATTTTAATTTTAATACTTGTTAATATGCAAAAAATGGAACAGATTTAACAGGTTTAAATACATCAACAACAAAATATGTATAAGTATCTTACTATTCATATACTTTTAAATTAAGAAAGAAAAGGTGGTACACTGCATTCTGTGACCCCTCACATATTGTGAGCCAAAGATGCGCTACATGCATTGTACCATAGATTTCCTTAGATTAAGGTATTAGTATTGCTACTTATGTTCAGGTATGAATCCTGTGACTTTAGGGTTAATAGATAGAAGACCAGAGAGGAGACTCTTCAACAGCACGCGCTTGTTTCACAATGTATGATGGGTCACAGAATGAGGTGCAACACCGGCCAGAAACGGTATGACGGAGAAATCTCTGCATGAAAAATGGATTCCAGGCTCTTTAGTGTAGAACATTCACATCCAGACATGTTCATCTATGAGGTAAACGTGAGAAAAGCTCGATATTTTGGAATGGGGATTCAATAAAAAAAATATGTTTGTTTTTTGTTAAACTGGCTTCTAAAATAAGAGCAATATAATGCTTAGCATGATCACGAAACTCCTAAAAATTAAAATACAAAATATAAAACATGGATAATCACAAGAAGTAAAGATAATGAGAGACTTTGGCGTAGTTAAAACCTCGAGCTTTCTTCCTCACCCGGTGGTCCTCTCTTGGAGCCTGATGTCTTCTAGAAAATCCTCCACGTCATTAATGTCGCTGTATTTATTCCAGTTCTTCTTTTTATTCTTGTTCACGCGTTTCCTCCGACTGCTTGCCAAGCCTGACGGGTCTATTGAGGACTTTAAAGTTAAAAATCCAGGCTGAGAGGCGGCCACGCGCTTAACTCTCCTGCGAGCCGCCATGTTGAACAGGAGGAAAAAACAAAAAAATGCCTGACGTCTTATCTGATTTTAACGTCACAGTGATATCGGTAGCGCCATCTGCAGGCGGAACGGTGTAAATGTCGATTTCTTTTTTTATTAATGTATCTGAAAAAACATATATTTGAATACATCATTATTTATTTTTTTAAAAATCGTTTTTAATTATATCATGGTAATTTATAGTATTTATTTTAAAATGTTAACAATTTAGAGGATTTTTACAAAAGCTTAAAAATATGTTTTCATTTCATAAAAAGAAAAACAATAAAAAATGTATTAAATAATAAAAAACAAGCATTTCATATTCACTTAAATAATAAGGGAGTTGCTCAGTTGATTGCTTTCCTTCTCATTTTTAATATGTTGGGATTTTAAACTATCAAAAAAGTTAAGCTTCAAAGTTCTTAAAAATATAAATGAATCGATAATAATGATTAGTAAAACACCTGTTGCACCAAATTCCCTGCCTGTGATTGTGTTCCATGTTGCAGGGTGAGTATAACATGTTGGTGCCAAATGCATGATGGGAAATGTGTCCCTTCTTGCTTTCCTATGTTCATTTTCTTTTTTTTCCCTCCCCGCATTTTATTGCGAGAACAACGCTTTAGAGACTGAAGAATACATTCGAATTTGAAGCCGAAATCTTTCACTGCTTTTCCCAAGGTAAGCGCCACTGTTTGAATAAAAGCCCACTGTCACATTTAATATCGTGTGAATTTGCTCTCGAAAAGATTTTGTCGTTTATTTTGAGTGAATAAAAGCCGTGGTTTTGAGCTATTATGTGCCTGCTCAGGTCCCCGACTCCCTGAGCAGCTCCTGTGATCAGGCTTGAATTCGACACGAAAATGCGCCTAAAGTGAGGGGCCATCTGACAAAATATTGTCCCCCAGCTGATCCCTTGACATATCTAGTTTCGTCTTCTAAAATTATTTCCCACTTATATGTTGAAGTTTTCTCGTTCTTCGATCGTTTTCATCGTCTGTTTTATTCGTTCGCGACGATTTTTTTTCCCTTCCCCTTTACAATCTTCTAGGCAGCAACCAGCCATCATCGGTGTGTACGCTTGTTTCTGAGCATCGGGCTGCCGGTGTGGGCGGTCTGAGCCGGTTTTCCTCCAAAATAGCTCATTCTGCGTTAAATAGGCAAGGCATTTGAACAACCGGTGAGCCCACTATGAAGAAACGAACAAACCCACGTCCACTGCGTAAAGGGTGGGACGTAGATGGCGAACGTTTAACTCTGATAGGTGGGGAGATTCAGAAGGTCCCGCCCCATAGACATAAACTCGCAGTTTAATTGGTTTAGCCTTTATGAAGGTCTGATGTGATTGGTTATTTGTGCTGTCTGTATGTGCGTGCTTCCATTACATAAGATACTGAAGGTATTGAAAAACAACCTTCAGGTGCGGATAGAAAAGTACTCCGATTCGGCTAAAAACCTGTGTTATGAAGAAGTGGAATAATAGCAAATAGAAACAAAAAAAAAAAGTAAATACACAAAAATAAAACCGACAATTTTAACACAAGATGATTGCCTTGCTTATCTGAAACAAGCTTTATTTTTAGATCTGAAACAATACATTTATGGAGTAATTCAATAATACATTTATTGTTAACTTGAATATGCCTTTAAGACAAGATTAACATTGTGGATGTAAAATTTGCAATGTGAAATTAAATAAACAGACATTTCTGGATGGGTTATTTTACCTGTTTTTTCCCATTTGCATTTAAAATATTCACTTTTATTCAACTTATTTTTTTATCTTTAAACACTTATTTCTTGAGGCATGTGAATATACCAAGTGCATTTCTTCTGAAATAAACTGATTACCTCCTTACTCGAATAACCTACAGCTGCAGCCTTTTTGTGGAATATTTCCAGGTGATCTGTAACAGCCATGGCCCGTACCAAGCAGACTGCACGTAAGTCCACTGGAGGCAAAGCCCCACGTAAGCAGCTGGCCACAAAGGCAGCTCGTAAGAGCGCCCCTTCCACCGGCGGAGTCAAGAAGCCCCATCGCTACAGGTAACGGCTCAAAACTTTAATAATTTGTTAAAATGTCTTATTTTTCCAGATGTATATTAGTCTGTTTAATAATATTTTTTATGCACAGGACATTTTTTTTTATATAAATGAACTTTCGCTTGACATTAAACATTCAAAAGTTTAAAATTAAAACCAGCGTAGATGGCGGCCCCTCTGACCAGCTGTTATACTTGTTATTATATATCTATTCTACAGCACATGATGGAATTATGAATGATATGTGCTTAAATGTAACATGACTAATTGTCTTAAAGGAACATATGGCTATTAGTCCGATTCCCATGTTAAACTGTTTTCTTGGTGCTTGTGCACTTTGCCACCCTTTCTTCCAGGCCTGGAACTGTGGCTCTGCGTGAGATCCGTCGTTATCAGAAGTCCACCGAGCTGCTGATCCGTAAGCTGCCCTTCCAGCGTCTGGTGAGAGAAATCGCCCAGGACTTCAAGACCGACCTGCGTTTCCAGAGTGCGGCCATCGGAGCTCTGCAGGTTAGCGGTGCCTACTGTGGAAATTTCTTACTGTAAAACTTTTTTTGTTATCCTTCAAGCAGATTCTAAAAGAGATATTGTGATTTTCAGGAGGCCAGCGAGGCTTACTTGGTGGGTCTGTTCGAGGACACCAACCTGTGCGCCATCCACGCCAAGCGTGTCACCATCATGCCCAAAGACATCCAGCTGGCACGCCGTATCCGCGGCGAGCGTGCCTAAAACATTTCCCGGCCTATAATATGCTGTCCTCTCATTTTCCTTCTTCTATACTTAGTAGTTTGGTTTGAGGTTCTATATATAAATATCTATATCATATGATTGTGATAACCGTAATTGTGTGATTATGTCTTCTGTGGTGCTACTAGTAGCAGGTTTTCCATAGCAGTATCATCAACTATGATTCAAACGTTCTCAAAAATCTCATTTAAATTTTAAGTTCCAGTAAGAAATTGGTAGGAATACCTTATCACCTCAGCAAATAAGGTATTTTGGGGACAGGATTAGTGTTTAATCTAAAGTTGGAATAGGAATTAGCATTAAGGTGGACAATTTCGTTCAAGAGTGGATGCCTACATTTCTCCTGTTTTTTCCTCTTTTAAATAGAAATTAGTTGTATTAGTATTGATTCTTTTTTTTTTTTTTTTTTTACAATAATGGTGTATTTCTACTGTTACTGTTCAGTGTATCAAAATAGAAAAGTTTAATTCGGGTCGTCATTTAGAAACGTCATTATGTTGTGATGACACTGCATGGTTTGACAGACTACAGCGGCATAGATGTAGCAGACCTGTGTTGATGATGTTTTGATTTTCAGCCATGTTAATAAAAAAAAATGTCTGGGTAATGTTTTTGTTCCTCTCTCAGGTTGATACAATAACCTATTTTTTTTCTACTTGTGTTTTTGATTTATGTATTCGGTCATTTTTATGAACAAAATATTTGTACTCTGGACTTCACATTCAAGCATAATAAAGAGTTTCTTGTGGTTGATAGAGTAACGTCTGAATGTCTTGGGATTGAAGACAGTATAGTTGAGTAAATCGTAAAACAAAAGTATAGCATAATTGTTTTAATTGAAAGATAAAAGCAGAATTCCAACTTTCTGATATGTTATTTTGATACTACACTTGCTAAATGAAGTGTTTAGAAAATGCTTGAGGTGGAGAATATTTAATTAAAAGTTACATTTAGCTTATATTGGTTGGGTAATTATCAAATTCAACCCGTTAAAGGAGCATCTGCAAATGAGCAACCTTAAAAACAAGCCACGGTTTTAGCTTCTAGTCCTTGACTTTTGCTTTTTTCTTACAGGACACTTTTTTTTTTTTTTTAAGTATGCTGCTGCATTTCTGATTGAG